GGGGGGGGGGGGGGGGGGGGGGGGGGGGGGGGTACGGGGGAAGGGAAGTTGAAACGAGCATTGTATTGTGTTGGAGGAGGGGGGGATAAACACACACGACCGCTGCAGGGGCCCGTGGAGAGTCTCTCGCCACGGGACGCTGAGTGGGATCATCGCGCAGTTTGGCGGTCATGACACACGTCCAGTGATTGCCCCTTTACCGTAAGGCCGGGTGGAAGGAAGGGAAAGGGAGAAGAGGGGGGACCGGCTGGCCACACGGGGATGTGCATGAAAAGGTGTGTGTGTGTGTGTGTGTGTGTGTGTGTGTATGCGGGCGTGCGCGCGTGCGTGCGCGCGTGCGCGCGTGTGTGTATGGACGCATGCGGAAGTGCCCTCACAGGTGGGATGGGAGAATTCACGGCAAACACATGACGCGGACGCGCGGATACACACATACGCACGAGCGTGCGCAAGGGGGACATTCTGAAGAGGAGGCGGCGTGTGCAATTGTGAAGCGATGGCCATCGAAGGAGGGAGAGAAGAGTAGATTGGGGGGGGGGGGGTAATATGGGCCATCAATGCATATGCACAGTGTAGGAGGGAGGGAAGGAGGAGCAACAGTGCTTTGGGTCGGCAGTGTGAGCAAGTAAAGCAGCAGGGAACCCCTGCGTATTAGCACTTGTCGCAGCCGCCCTCGGACTCCTTCTCGCTGGCGCCAAGATCGACTTTCCCCTTCGGCGTCGAGCCGCCGTGGGAGGGCCCGACCTTGATGCCACTGGACTGTGGGGCATGGCCGTTGTTGAGGAAGGAGGGTGTATCCGTGCATTTGGGGGGTCGGTCGATGTCAGTAAGGATGAGGTGCGACGAGCGAGCGAGCGAGCGAGCGAGAGAGAGGGAGAGAGAGAGAGAGAGAGAACATACCTCGTTGGTCACGTCGAAAACACCCTGGTTGATCTTGTCATAAATGTCGAGAGCAGTCTGCTGGAAGGCGGTCTCGACGTTGGCGGCGGTCTTGGCCGAAGTCTCCAGGAAGAAAAGACCATGCTGGCGGGCGAAAGCCTCGCCCTCCTCGCGAGGAACCGCACGACGGCTCTCGAGGTCGCTCTTGTTACCGATCAGCATGATGGTCATCTGGGAGTTGGAGTGCTGGCGCGCGTCCTCCAGCCAGGAGGCCAGGTGGTTGAAGGTCTCACGACTATGGAAGGCCAGCGGGGAGGATGCAAGTGAGCTGGAGCGTGAGTGCGAGTACGGGGTAGCCATGCAGAAGGAAGGGGGGAGGGGATCGAAAGTGGGGAGAGCACGAGGCGAGTGCAAGAAATGGAGGAGGAGAGCGAGAGGAGGAGGGGGTAGGGGAGAAGGAATGATGTGGGGTGTGGCGCGGACCGGGTGATGTCATAGACGAGCAAGGCACCAGCGGCACCGCGGTAGTACGACCGGGTGATGGAGCGGAAGGACTCCTGGCCAGCCTATCAACAGAGGGGAGCATTGGTTATGGGGGGCGGGGCAGCAGGAGGGTGAGTGTCAAGGTGGTGTGAGGGGGCAAGGGTGTGAGGATGATCGAAGCAGAAAGACGCACGGTATCCCAGATCTGGAGCTTGATCTCCTTGTTGTCGATCGAGATCATGCGCGCGCCGAACTCCACACCGATGGTGAGGTCGTGGACCGGCTGGAAGCGCTTGTCGGTGAACTGCAGGAGCAGGCAAGACTTGCCGACACCTGTGAGACGGAAGCCAAGTCACAGAGGAGGGAGGGGGGGGGGAGGGGGGAGAGTTAGTGTGGGGCCATGGGAGGAGGGGCGACCGAGGAGGGAGGAAGAACAGGGCGCGCACCAGTATCACCGATGATGATGTACTTGAAGAGGTAGGCGTAGTTCGACATGGTCGAGATGGGGGTAGGACGGGGGGAGGTGGGATGCGGAGGGGGGGGGGGAGAGGAAGAGGTGGAGAAGTGCAGGACAGGGAAGGAGGGGAGAGAATGAAAGGAGGGGGATGCTAAAGGGGGGAGAGTGTGTTTGAGGTGGCACCCCCTGGAGGTTGGGCCCCGACCAGTGAGGATTGCCTTGTACCCCCGCCGGCGCACATTGCGGCCTCCTGGCCCGGGCCCACACATCGGATCACCCGGGGCCTGGGGCTTGGATGGTGGTGGCGAGCAGGGGGGGGGGGGGCACCAGCAACCATCCGCCCCACCTTTCGAGCTGAGAAAGCTGGATGGGCCTGGAGGAAATGTTATTTTTTCCCCCGACCACCCGCGTTCGACAGCGTGCAGCTTTGCCTGAGCGCTCTTCTCAACGTTTCCCCCCTGGCGGAGGGCGTCTATCTGTCTGTCTCGCCGTCTCTCGGCCTTCGGGCCTGGGGGCGAGACACACCCCTCTCGGGGCTAAAGTCTACTGTCGGGAGAACACCCCCCCCCCCCCCCCCGGTGCCCTCTGCGTACTTGGGGCCTTTGTCAACCACCGCCAAAGATCCGGGTGTTATTTTTCTCGCTGTTTTGTGCTCCGGCGGGTGGCTTGTTTTTTTTTCCGCCCTGCTCGGGCCCCGCGTCTTCTCCGGTGACGGGGACCAAGAGAGAAGCCGGCGGACACGAAGAAGCATGCGCCGAGAGACGGTTCTTCTCCGGGGGGCCCCCCCCCCCCCCCCGCCCCCCGGTGCTAGACCCCTCTGAGGCCGCGCGATACCCTGGCCCCCACCTCGCAAGTCCCTTGACCACGGGCGCACTGGGATCGGGGACACACCGGCGTGGGGATGGTTAATGTTGCAGGCCCTCATGGGCATCGCGCGCGCGCCTCCCGACCTTGGTGTAATCTACCGCGCCAGCACCGATGTGCTACCTGGCGAACAGGGTGGACTTACGCCCGAGCGCTTCGCAAGACAAAGGCCCCGTCCCCCGCTGCCTCCATTGTCCGGCGGCCTGGCGCTTCGTGTGCGTGCGTCCCTGCGTTGGGTGGGCGGGGGGGGGGGGGGGGGGTACGAACAAATGAAGCTTGTCTCCCCCCCTCCCTCGCCCCTCGCCCCCTTCCCCCTCGCCGTCCAGCCCTCAGGCCCCGCGGCGGGCGCCTTCCCGAAAGGCGAGCTCCAGAGCCCCCTGCCCCCACCCCGGGGGGGGGGGGCGAGGGCGGATACGGGCCTGGGGCGCCGTGGCTTGGGGAATCACATTGACCCCTCTTTTGTGCCTCTCCTCGGGTGTCCCCCCCCCCCGCCCCCGCCCCCTCGCCCCCCGGGCGCGTCTGTGGGGCTGCGAGGTGCTCGGGCGTGTGGAAAAACCTGACATACGCTCTTGCGCGCCACTGGCCCAGGCCCCCGCCTCGGCGGCGCCTCTCCGCAGTTATGCAAGAGACAATGTTGGTGCCGCGGCCTCGGGGGGGCGGGGGGGTGGGCCGGGGGGGGGGGGGGGGGGGGGGGGGCAGCGGCGATCAATCAGCTCTGTCGATCACACACCCCTCACCCCCGGGGGTGGGGGAATGCATCGCCGCGCGCACGCGTCAGGCTTGGGCTCTTCCCGATCGCGCACGAGCGCAAGGGCCTCGTTCGCCCCGGAGGCGGCGAGTGTGTGAGTGAGGGGGGGGGGGGAACACGCAGTCGGCCGGGACGAAAAGGCGGCGGGTTGAGCATGCCAAGAAAATCGCTGAGAAGACACACCCAAACGGACTGATGCCGGGGGGGGGGGGGTGCGAATGGGGTTGCCCTGCTTGAGATGCGAACACGGCTAGAGAGGTGCCCAGCCCGCGGGCCGTCCAGGCAGGCAGCGGGGGAGGAAAGGATGGAGGAAGAACAACGCTCTTCTGGATGAACGCACCGCCCCCCCCCCCGGGGGGCAGGGGCGCGGGACCAACCTGACCGTCCCCAGCCAGGGCACAGGTTTCTCCCCCTAGGCAGGTGCCAGAGCACGAGGGGGGGGGGGAGGGGGCGGGGCGGGGGGACTCCCGCCCACAGCGCAAGGTCACTTCTGCGGCGGTTGCGGAGGAGCCCAAAAATGCGAGAGGTATCACGCGACAATCACACCTCACGCCCAGCCCTCATTTAGGGTTACATCTTGGGCCCACGCACGAGACCTGCCCCGCACCCGGAAAGGAGCATCCCACACGGCCTTCCCCCTCCTTGCCGATATACTTGGCTCAGCGGGGGGCGGGCTGAGGGGGCGGGCTGGGGGGCGGGCTGGGGTGCTCACCCGGACGGGGGCGAGGGGGGGGGGGGCTTGCCAGAGGGTGCGTCGAAGCCGGAAAGGGCGCCTCTCCTCTTTCCGCCTGGCTGGAGACCCAATCTTCGCACAAGTCAGGCCCCGCAGCCGAGGAGGCGTCCACGTCGGGAACTCCCTCGCCCGACATCGCTCTCTCTCTGTCTCTCTCATCTCCCGAGCCCGAATGCGTGCCTTCTCCTTTTGCTCCTCTTGTGTGTCCAACTCGCCACGCCTCCAGCATCCTCCCGCCCCCGCCCTGCTGGCCATCCCGAGCCAGGGGGCGCACACTGATCCCTCTGCAGAAGCACACACGCCCGTTCTCTGTGAACATATAGGTGTATGTGTAACAAAAAAAAGGGGCAAATGTGTTTGTGTGTGCGGCGGCGGGTTCCTGCTCGCCCCCCGGGTACGTGCCGTGCGCGCCAGTGCGCGCACACACGCGCACCAGAAGAGGGAGGGCATCTAGGTGTCTCGAGAGCGCACTCCCCTCCTTCGGCATTTACTGGAGGATGGCGTTCCCGTCCTTGATCTCACCCCAGCCAATCAGGCTGGATCATCGGGGGGCGGGGGAAATTGAATGTCAGTGGAACATACACAGCAGGACAGGGGGGGGGGGGGAATGAGGGGGAGATATGACACCGCCACATGGAGGGCCATACGCCCGAGCAAACAGGGCCCCCATGTGTGTGGGCATTTTTTTGATGGGAAAAAAAACAAATATCCCTGTGCGTGGGAGAGGAGGGGGGCCGGCATTTCCCGCCATAAGCAGACCATCGCACAGGCACAGGGGATGGATGGAAAAGGAGGCGAGAGGAGATGAGCATGGCAAAGACGCACCGCCAGTGGTTGTCAATACGACGGGAGAGGGCCACCTTGGCCGGGATCTCAGTGCACACCGGGCTGGTCAGGGCAATGACCGCGGTGTCGCCCTTGATGGAGGTGATGCGGCCACCGACGGAAGTGGAGCCGACGTTGACCATGAGGATCTCACCGTTGTCCAGGCGCTGGACACGGGTGGCCTTGCCACGGCCCTCGGTACGGACACCGAGCAGACGACGGAGCAGGAAGTAATCCACGGTGATGACATCGTAGACGCTGTGCAGGGACCCCTTGCGGCCGAGGACCTGGCCGACCAGGCGATCGGCACGGCAGAGCATCGGGTCGATCTTGGTACCGACACCAATCAGGCCACCGGGAACGGCGCGCAGCAGCTCGTTGGACTCGGCGAAGAGAGAAACAACCTTGGAGACGATGGGCCGGCACACGAAGGAGCCACCAGCCTCGCGCTCGATGATACCGGGGCGGACCTCAATCTCGTCGCCAATCTGCGACAAATGGGGAAGGGGCAGAGAGAGAGAGAGAGGAGGGGGCGGAGAAGCGGAAAGCAAGGAGCGGAGAGCATAGCAGGGGGCGGAACATGTTAGCACGAAGAGAAGAACCCCCCGGCAGGCCGCCACACGGCAAGCGGGCACGCACCTTGAGGACACCCTTGAGGATGGAGCCACCGGCCACACCACCCTTGAGGGAGTTGACATCGGCACCGGGCTTGTTGATCTCGAAGGAGCGGATGATGATCATCGTCGGCTCGGAGGTGAAGTCACGAACGGGGATCGGGACATTCTTGACGAGAGCCTCGACCAGGGCATCAATGTTGTACTTCAGCTGGGCCGAGATCGGGATGATGGGGGCAGTCTCGGCAGAGGTGCCCTTGACGAACTTCTGGATCTGCTGGTAGTTCTCCTCGGCCTGGGTGTCCTTGATGAGATCGATCTTGTTCTGCAGGACGATCAGGTGGTTGAGCTTCATGATCTCAATGGCAGCCAGATGCTCGGAGGTCTGGGGCTGGGGGCACTCCTGTGTGACCGGGCGGGGCGGGGGAAGGTGGAGGGCATTTTCTTCTTGGCGTGAGTGGGGGGGGGGGGGGCGCGCCGGAGAGTGGCCAGGGAACCGGGAGGGAGGGGCAAGGCAAGGCAAGGCAAGAGCATGGATCTCGGCACGGACCTCGTTACCGGCAACCAGGAGAATGGCGGCGTCCATGACGGCCGCACCGTTAAGCATGGTGGCCATGAGAATATCGTGACCCGGGCAATCGACGAAGGAGACATGGCTGAGGGGAAGCATGCCAAGGAAGGCCAGGTGAGTCGGGACCATCGATCAGCGGGCCGAAGAGCAACGACAAGGGGGAGACGCACCGGAGCAGCTCCATCGGGCTGGAGCACACCTCGCAGGGGGGGTTGTCCTCCTTGCCGGAGCCATAGGCGCGATAGCAGCCAGGGCGCTGGCAAGAGGCGCTGGAGCACTTGTACAGCTGTGGAGGTGGAGAGCAAACGGTTGAGAAGGAGCATGCGTCAGAGGAGGCGCCATCGAGGAGGATGCATGCCACACAGTGGCGTGCGTGCGTGTGTGTAGGCAGGGGGGGGGGGACCGCGTGGGGGCCTCTTTCTAGTGCCGCGGTGCGCGGGGAACAAGACAACGACGCACCTTGGCATTGGCATAACCCAGCTTGATGGTAATGTTACGCTCGAGCTCGTTCTTGAAGCGGACGGTCTGCGGGCATATGGCCATTGCGGGCAGGAGGGTCAGAAAGGGCCAGGCAAGGGTGCATGAGGGGGGAGCAAGAAGCACGAACCTGGACACCGGTCAGGGCACGGACAACGGTGGACTTACCGTGAGCGACGTGACCAATGGCACCTGGAGAGGGGAGGGGTCAAAGGGAGGAGCGCGTCAGTCCATGTGGCTGCGAGAGGGGGAGAGCGGAGGTCGAGAGATGGAGGCGGGAGAGGAGGAAGGGCGCAAGGGGACGGACCGATGTTGATCGTCGCCTGGCGAGAGATAACCTCGAGGCTGGTGGGGGTGAGCTCATGGTCGGGAGTCATCGTGTGGTGGGTTCTCCGTGCGCAGCTGCGAGGGCGGAGCATACCACGTGGAAGCCAAAGGGGGGCAGGTGTCAGGAAGAGTGAGAGGTCTGAAGGGGAAGAGGCGAAAGGCGAAGAGGCGATTGGAGGAGGTGGTGGAGGTGAGGGCGCGACCACCAAAGTGGAAGACCATCACATCCGACCAGCCTCGAAGAGGCTCCCGTCATGGCAAAAGTCAAGGTCTGACGTCTTGACAGCAGCCAAAAAAAAGGGAGGCAGGCGAGCTAGATGTGTGCGTGTGCGGTGGAGGGGGGTGGGGGCATGCATGTGCGACATGCCGCGACATGCTGCGGCATGCGAAGTAGCGCAGGCCAACAGCGAGCGCGGCTGGGACAACAGAAGCTGGCCAAAGAGAGAGAGAGGGCTACACCGCGGAACACAAGCAAACCTCCTCCTGCGAGGAGGCAAGAAGGCGCTGCCAAGGCATGGGGGGGGGTGCCAGGCAGCAAGGGAGCGAGGCGCAAATGCCGGATGGCGGGGATGGCAGGGAGGGCGGAGGGGCGAGATGCGTACAGGCAGTGAAAAGGGGAAAAGCAGGAAGAGGAGGAGGAGGAGAAAGAAAAGGAGGGAGAGAGGCCTTTTCCAGAGGGGAGAGGCCCTCGAATGCGTCGATGGGCGGCCAGGATGGCAACCGAAAAAGGGGAAAATGCGAGGAAGAGACGAGAAGGGCGACACGGGGCATAGGGCTTTCCGGCAAACACCCCGACCCTCAGGGAGAGGATGAGTCCCGGGGGGGGGGGGGGGGGGGGGCGAGGACAAGAAGGAGCGCCCAAGACCCCGAGGCCTTCCCTGCCCTCTCTAGCTCGCCGTCCGGGAGCGCCTCCACCCTGGGGTCTCCCTCTCACGCGTTGCCCAAACTTGCCCCCAAAAATCCCCTCCCTCCCGCCGTTTCCCCCCCGCCATCATGTTCATTTTGCCCCCCCCCCCCCCCCCCCCCCCCCCCCCCCTCGCGGGCCACCACCCCCGCCAAGAAATCAAGTGCCATGAGTGCGTTGGCTCTCGTCGGGCCCTCCCCTTTTGAACCCTATGCCGGCAGAGTCGTGCGTCCCTGCCGGCGGCCTTTGGTCGCGCTCTCGCAAATGGCCAGACTAGAAGCGCCTGCCAGGCCGGCCGCTCGGCCGCATGCCGGACCCTGCACCACGGAATCCCGGTTGGTTGTGGCCCAGGCAACAGCCCCGCACACCAACGCGGAACATTGGAAGGCCGCCGAGTAGATCCCCTAGCCCCAGGCCGGTGGCGAACCGGTCTTCGCACGCGGGCATCGACACCGGATTCCGGCGACCTCGCATCCGGGCTCCCCCCGGGAGTAAGCCCCCTGCTGGCTGCTCACATGCATGCTGAACTGCATAAACCGGCAAGGCGTGCCTGTCGGTCAAGAAACGCGAGAGACTACTTTTCGAGAGGCGGCGCGGGTGAGCGAGGGGACCCCGGGCCGGGCACGAGCCGGGCCCAAGGGCCACGCACGCACGCACGCGCACACGGGGGGTGTTCCCGGTGCTCGGGGTGTGAGTTCATACCACCCCTTCCCAAGCCCCCCCCCCCCCGAGGGGACGCACGCCAGGCGAAAAGGGGACAGGAAGCGGGCGCGTTGGTTTGATAGAATGAAATGGCATTTTATTGCGTTGTGATATGGAGCAGGGTCACGGGATACTTGATGGCTACTGGCCGGTTGGCGAGTTGATAGGCGACCAGCTGCCACCGGATTCCAGGCGCTTGCAGCGATCGTGCACCGACTGCTCGAACATGACCATGTAGACTGTCCGGCTGGGGAGATCCTTGGAAGCGTGGTTGTGGGCTGACACCGAGGCAGGCTGGGCGGGTGCGCACGCCGAGCGACTCGCGTCGAGTCAGTGCAAAGAGAGGCCGGGGGAAGAGTAGAAGCGGCGGAGGGAAAGGAGGAAGGGAGAGAAGAAAAAAGCAGGAGGCGTACGAATTGAGCACGCTCAAGGAAGCCCGCAATGATCCCGGCATTGTAGGCGCCGCAATTGAGATCCTTCATGTCGGCCGGGACCGAAATAAATTGCGAGACAACCGGGTCATCATCGATCAGGTAGTCTGGAGGGCCCGGGGGGGGAGGGGGGGGGGGCGGGGACGGGGAAGGTCCGGGAGAAGGGAGCCGAGACAAGAAAAAAGAAGAGCCCAGATCGAAGGGAGTCAGAGGAACTCGAAGGGTGGAAGGAGGAAACGCGCGCAGGGGGTACTGAAGGACGGACAGTGGTTGCGCGAGGTGTCCCGCTCGATCGGCCCCAGGCGCGTGCCATACAGCATGGGAAAGAGGACAGTCTGAATGATCTGGAGGATCTCCACGATGGTGGTGCTCCGGAGGAGGGGAGTGCTCTGTTCGCCAAGGCCGGAGCCACGAATGTATGCTAGCTCCACGGCGCGGATGCCCACCGAGTAGCCCACCTCGAAGAGACTTCAGGAGAAGGGAGGAGTCAGTGATGGGGCTCGACATGCCAGCCGCGGTGAGGGGAGGGGAGAGGAGAAGGAAGACCGGAGAGAGGAGGAGAGGAGGGGAATCCAGAGAGCCGGGGCGACGCACCGCTGTTCGATCTTCTCAATGCCGCCGCCAGCTTCGTTGGCCATTTTGACGATCTCCGAAAAGAGGAAGGCCAGCGCAGCGAGGCTGACCCGGCCATAAATGTTTGGCCCCTTGCGGACAGAACGCTGGGCGGGATTCTTGCGTGTCGGCTGGGCAGCAGCCGCGGCCACAGCAGCCGTGGCGGCGCGCATTTGGGCAGCAGCCGCGGCGGTGGGCTGCTGCTGTCCGGGGGTCATTGTCCCGGTGGCGACGACGGCGTCGCCGGAACTACCCGCCTGGGCCCCGGCGTTCTGTGAGGTGGGCGGCAGCGAGGAGCTCGAGAGGTGGAATCCCGGCAGCGAGGACATGATCGAAGGAGAAGGCCACGGGGGAAGGGGGAGAAGGATCGAGGGAGAGGGGGAGGGAGGGAAGAAAGCAGCAGGCGAAGCGGGACAGGGGGAGGGGGGGGAAACGGGTTGTCCAGCTCCCCTGGCCCCCCCCCGGGGGGAACATCAGCGGGGCAAACTATGAATGGGTGTTATTTTGATTCCGGCTGAGCATGTGATCGGCCGAGCTCGGTGCGCCACCAAGAATCAGATCGCCGGAAGGATGACAGAAAAATACCCCTACGTATATAGGCATATATTTTTCGATGCAGACCAATGCCGAAGACCCAATGTCACTTTTGCCAAGAAACAAGATCCCCCTCCCCC